GTGTCCCCCCCCCTCCACAGAGTGAGAAAAGTCGTGGATTTTCAGAGGGTGGTTTTTGGTTCTGTTCCTTTTTTTTTTCTTACAGAAGGCTCATGATATAGGTTGTGATCTTTCTCCCCCCCCCCCCTCTCTGCTCCCCCCCCCTGTCCCCTTGGGAATTCAAATCTCTTTATTTTACCTACACATTGAAAATGTTTCACTCTTATCAACCCCATCGCGACGATGAACGGGGGCGGGGGGGGGGCTGCGAAATTTCCGCTTCAGCATCTCCTGGATGTAAAAATAAAGAAGCGCTTCAGTAATCTAGAAAGCGAATCGTAATTGAAAAGGAGGCGTGTTTCAGGGGGCTGAAACGCCGGTTAAGCCTATTAGCGTCTTATCAGAAGTCACGGAGCGTTTATTACCCCCCCGATGGAAGACGCAGCAGGAGGTTTGTTTTTGTTTGTGTGCGTGACAGCAGATGTGCTAAATGTGTCCGTCCTGTGCTTGTTGTGCGTTTTGGGGGGGGGCAGATGATGATGACGCCGGCGAGCTGGACCTGAGCGGGATCGATGACCGCGAGATCGAGCTGGTACGTACCTGCTGGATCATGGTGCTCGATAGTGGTGATTATGTACATTTATGGAGCACAGAAACAACACGTTGATTAAAGAAAACATGGAGAGAAAAAACAAGTATGAGGTCGAATCAAATGGTGAAAAAAAAAAAAACGGTAACAGACAAAAACCAAAGTATTTCCATGAACATCTCATTTTATGTTGCGTGTTCTGACGCTCGTGACTCCTGGCTGCAGTACCTGCTGAGTGACCAGGAGATCCAGGTGAAGACGGCGCTGTGGATGGCAGAAAACGCCGACTACCTCAAAGAGCAGAAAGGTAGAATGCACCTGCCCCCCTCCTCCCCCCCCCGGCCCTCTGCCCCGTGGACGATGTCGTCTGAGGGCTTTTACACCGGCACCGTTCTGCTTTCAGAGAAGGAAGCCCGGATAGCGAAGGAGAAGGAGCTCGGCATCTACAAAGAGAAGAAGGTAACCGCGCTCCGCTTTAGGAACTGATGGGGGGGGTCAAAGGTGGACTCTCAGAGCGCCTCCCCCCGAAATGTCACACTGTCATAAAACTATCGTTTATTTTTCTCATTTTATTTCTGCATCGGAAACGGTGAATCTCATCATTTGAGGCTCCTCCCATTCGATGGCTTTTTTCTTTGACGTTGTAAAACCCTCGATGCTCCGGTTCATCAGGATCGTGCCGTTGCCTGAAACCTTCGCAGAGCGATGGAGATTAAACTTAAAAGCAAAAGTCTGTCACATAGTTTCCTCCTTAAAGTCTTCTTTAATTTATTAAAGGCAAAGGGCCGTTGCTCCTCGGGAACAATGGCGGCTGCTGAGGTCAAATAAACTGCAGATTTACATTTTTCACCCTTCAAAGCGACTGCAGACGATTTGACTCATTTGATTTGACTCTTTTTGCCCTTTTGTCTGCTTCCTCTCATTATTATACTACTTCTACTTTTTTATTTTCTGCACCGCCGCTCAGATTAAGGTTTAACTCTATTGATCCGACGGGTTTTAATCCGCTCAGAAAGACTCACGGTCGATTCCGCTGTCTTTTTCTCCACGATGTTTTACCCTCAGAAGCTTTTGCGTCATCGACTGACACGATTCACAGGTGATCATAATTTAGTTACCTCAAAGGTCAAAGGTCAGACGGGTTTCAACTGGCCGGGTTACCTGCAGAGGAACAAATCAACATGTCGTCCTTTGTGAGAAGTTTTGCTTCTCTAATCCGATCCGAAGCGGTCGAGGTGGATAACCAGAGCTAGCAGCTTAGCACGCTAACGTTAGCAGCCGCTCTCATCTGTAGTGTTTTTATGATCAGAATAACCGTTCCCTTTGCCTCCCTCCCCCTCTACC